TCCTTGTGCTGGACTGGCCCGGCCTCCATTCGTCTCCTTCTCTGGCAGTGCTGTTCTGGACAGCTTTGAAGGCCGCGTGAATATCCCCCGTCCGTCCTCACACTGGAAGTACCGGACCCCTGCCACAGAGCCATCGTTTTTCCCGATCGACTCGTCCAGCACAATGCCCGCCCACTGGCCGGGAGCAAACTGCGTCCCTCCAACAAAGTGCACATAGCCAGGCTTGTTGCCGTTCACCCAGACTCTCTCTCCAATTTTAAAGTCTGTGTTTCCATCTTGGACTGGTGAGGTCACACTGCCAGGGGACTTTTCAGGAGGAACTGGCTTCGAGGTACCTGCAGTTGGAATCGTGTTTTAATAAACCATAGTTAATAATCTTAAATGTTACTTTTTATAGTTAGATTTAAAAGGTGCATTTTTTGCCAAAAAGAATTAGGTTAATTAGGTTAAAACAAAGGAAAATCAAATTTATTTATTGGATTTTCCTTGGTTTTGTTATTATTTATTAAATTATTAATAAACACCAAGTCAGAATCCAAGGAATCATATTGTAATTAGTTGGAAAAGTTGTTGGACTGGTGCACCCATAGTAGTATGAGGAACAGATTAAGTTCTAGGGAGATTTAACCCCCAAAAATGCTTCTGTTTGGGGATTAGTACCTGGTGAGAAATGTCAGTATGATCTGTTTAATACAGTCTGCATTCTAAAAAAATCTGCAGCTGTAAACATTTTGTGTTTCTTGTAGTCTCTCTCTATTTTCGCTTCATAAATAATGCTGAATCCAAATAACAATCATCCAAAGACTGATTTAAGGATGTAGATGATTAAAAAGAAAAGCACCTTTTAGTGATACTATATACAGAAATACACATGGAGGTCCATGTTTTGCTAAAGCACACTTTGAGAAAACTCACTGATAAGTTCTGTAGTTAAGAAAGGCCCAAACAGATACAAACGGTAGCATGACACTTCTTGTTGACAGAATTAGACACTTTAATAAACAGACACAATCTTGAGGGGTTTTTTTCTTCAACAGCTTCTTACCAGATGACGGTGATGTCCGTGATGGAACGCCGGAGGGACGGACTATTTTACTGGGGGGTTTTAGCCCACTGGCTTTGCCTGATGTACTCATGGCTCCTTGTTTGTCCATGGCTGAGGGGGGCCTATTGAAGATGAGGGATTAGGCCTTCCCCACCACCTTACACGGTCACACTATGATAAACAGGAGCTGGCAAAAAGAAAAGAAGAATGTATCCTCAACAAAAACAAATATAAAAAGATGACAGTGACAATAAAGAGGACACTGAAAATGCTACATCCAGATTAAGATAATCAACTTTTGGTTATTTCCTTACCTGGATGACTAAGCATGCATTAAGACATAAAAAGATGACATGTTAATATCAAGGCAATTTCATGTGTTTTAATTTTATAATTGTAAAAATCTAAACTGGTTATAAACTATTATACAAAAAGATAGATTTTAAATTTAAATTCTAAATAGTTCTGGTTATTTTGAATGTGTTTTTTGTTAATCAGCATCAAAAATGCCTTATTAAATATTTTGTGTTCTTTCTTGTCTTAGGACTTTTCATGTGTGACTGTAGCCCATTCACAGAGGCCTACAACCCCCACAATTACATCAGTGTCTCAGTGAGAGCAGTCGCTCTGCTCAGTGAGGCCTCAGTTTGTCTCAACACCTCCTACTGTATGTCACTAAGTCACAGCCCAGTGTTTATTACAGAGCTGTTCATTATCATCTGTGAAATCACTGTCATATTCAGCTGACCACATGGTATATCTCCAGTTTCAGCTCACATGCCCATTAGTAGAAACATCTCTGCTACCATTTAATTCACAAGGTACGTATATGAGTCACACTGACTACAACAAGAACGTCTTTGGACATTAAAGCTAAGCGACTAAAGCCACCAAGCACTAGATGTTCATGGATGGAAGCTAAAGGTAAAAACTCATTTCAGGATGTTGGAAGACAAAATGTGTTGATTTATTTGGTTGTAAAATGGTTTATTTCAGACAGCCATACATCTACCCCAGGTTTACCGACTAGTGTTTCTAGACAACAACGTTTTAAATATTAAAAAACATGTTTTACACAATTTATTTATATGTCAAATTCAGATGTGTGTTTCCACATGCTATAATGGCCCAACCTGAAAAGACAGATTTTCACCTTTCACTAACCAAAGCTCAACATTTTTACAAAATGTTAAGATTTTGTAAAAGGTTTCAACAAACCGTTCACGAAATCTTCTTATCAAAGAGATGGGCAGGGTGAGATGAGTTGTATTAGCTCAGACGCCAGTCACTAAATAACAAAATTAGCGTTTGACATCAAACAGACTATATTGTGCTTCCAAGGAGCCAGACTTTGTAATTTTTGAAGTGCTCTTGGGCAAAGTTGTCTAGGCTTTCTGCAGGTCTTTCATTGGCTGCTTTTTCACTCATTTCCAGTCCAATCTTTGTACCTGACCATTTTCAGAGGAGTGTTTTTTATTTGGTTCTATCAGCTACTTAACACTGACCTATGAATCATTCAAGTATGTAAAAGACACCCGAGTCAAGGGATGAACCAACTTAGCAAAAGAGCTGTTTTAAATAGTTTGTCATGGCACTTTGTTACTAACACCCAGTTGCAAAAACACATATTTTTTTCACATTTCTTTAGCTAAATCTATGAAAAATACCAAAGATAACACAGTTTGACAGGCATAAAATAGTATTTTTTCAATAACAAGGTTATTCCCAAAGAGCTATAGCCAAAAAACATGGCATATCTCAGCATGCTGTGCAGTGTCCTTAAAAAAAACAAAAACAGCTCCTAACATAGGACCTGAGAGACACATTTGGGCCTTCCATTGATCTATTTTGCTGAAGCCTCAAGGAAAGGAAAACGTTGGTATAAAAAATGTACACAAGAACTCGACTGAAAAATCAATGGTCCACAGTCACAGTGTTCAATTGCCTTAAAGCAGGATTATGAATCAAGAAACCTCCTTTAAATAATTATAATTAAATTAAGTGCAGAACAGAACAGACAGAAAACAGAGGCCAGTGGGAGATTTTCCCTAAACGTCACAGTCGAATACCAGCACCATCTGTACAGACATGAAAATACAGGTGAAAAGTTTTTATGAATAATCTTAGTTGAAAAATCCGGACAGCTTTTTGATTATGTGTTAATTTGATCCAGTATCTTAAAAACTTCCAAAGATGATGTTTGGGTTATAAAGAAAAATCTAATTAAAGAAGATGTGTCTTTCATGAAAGACACATCTTCTTTATTGTTTGTAAGATGCTGGAGAATATGTTCTTTTTATATGAAATGACAACATCACAATGGACATATTTACATGGAGAAATAAAACTGATAAGAAATCTTTAAGAATTCGAAAAATAGCTTCATAATGGAGGCAAATGTTGTTAAATTATTCTCAAAAACAGATGTTTAAATCTAACTCAAATCTAATGGGACTCAGGGGCACCAGTTTTCCTCCTGGGCCACCAAAGACTTAACGCAGCCTTGTCTCCGAAGCAACCGGCACCGTGAGCAGTACCTGCTCTGTCCATGGTAATAAAAGTATATCATAGGTGCACTCATTTAGGTCGACCTTTTTAGTTGGAGCACTAAATCGTTTCTCACAACACTGAAGAGAAATCCTGTGCAGGTAACATTACTTCAGAGGTCTTCCCCCGCCCAGCAGGTGTTGCCAGACCAACACAACAAGCACACCTACAGCTGTCATGCATCAGCCTGCTCTCCATTCTCTGCTGCCAGCTCACTAACGACCATTCAATTATCTCCGGTTTTGCATGATCACACAAAAGCAATTAATGAAGGGAGAAATCGTTAGTGTACATAACAGACACATAAGAAGACTGGTGTGTGTTGTTTGTGTGGGCTGGGCTCTCTGTATCTACGGAGCTAGTGAGATAACTTGGATTTTTACCCGCCACACTTTCCCACTAGGCATCCTGCACATTTAACCAATACCGGCGGACTGACTGGCATGTCATTTAGCAGCAGATCATAGTGATTTACATCCTGTTAGCTAGAGCCACGGTGGTTGCTGGTATGCCAAAGCTAGCTAGCTTCAAAACAGCAATAACGCACAAACTGTGGTTAATATAAGACAACTAACACTCTAATGAGGCGATATTAAAGCAGACTAAACACAGACAACAGTGGGGAAAAAGCTGCTTTGAGAGCTTACTTTGTCTCGTTAGATGAACTGGGTCTCAGTAAGGAATGTCGTGAGAAGGTGCAGCGTACCTTGCACCGTTACATGTTTTTTCCAACAGCTACTGTTTCCCAGCCCAGCCCCGACTCACACAATCTGACGTCACTCTTGGAAATGATGCTGCCTTCACAGCCCCAACATAAGCTCGTGAACTGTGAAGCCTAGTTGTAAATTTGGGGATCTGAGGTTACTATCGTTGCCAAAAATTAAGGTAATTCTGGAAATGAACTTAATATTTTTGTTAGCGTAAAATAAAACTAGAGTAGAGAAAAATACAAAATGTGAATTGAACAATAATATTTACTTAGGTAATATAACATTTCAAATATCAGGAAAATATTTTGATCCGTTTTATCAAATTTTTCACAACCAAAAGGAGGAAGATACAATGTTGCGTGAGTTAATGTGGGCTGGGATATCTGCATTACAGTCAAAGTGTTGTTTTGTTTCTTTGTTTTTAATGATATTGTGATCTTCAGTCTAGCCCCTTAAAAATATCACATATCAAGGAGTAATAAAACATAAACTGAAAGTAAATAGGGAAACTCACAATGGAAATTATCTGAATCTACATTAACTAAAAAAAATGCTAACTAAAAATACATAAAATACTAATAATAAAATGTCATCAGCAGTTATTGAAATGCAATTTCTTAAAGTGGGAAAAGAAAAAATAAATAAAATTCTTAACACCTCACAGTAAAAATAAAGGCAAGTACTGACATAAAAATGTACTTTTGTAGATGTACGCTATTGTCACTGACGCATAATGCGAGAGCTTCATTTTGCTGCTTTAGCTCTCTGAATCATAGCTTTGTTTTCTACACTTTGCGCAAAGCTGAAAAAGAATAGCTCACTGGATTCGTTTTCAATCGACTGTTTTTGTAAAAACTGAGGAAAAAACAAGAAATATTATCACAGTCCCTGAACCCCAAAGAGACATATCTAAATAACTTAGATATCTAATTTACTGTCAACAACTAAATGATTTTTATTGGATTTTTTTCAAAGCAAAATATTTTTAAAACTTTTCAAAGGCTAATTTTACCACCCACCTAACTATGGAACAGCCATTGTTTAAAATAAATAAATATTTATTTATTTACGACCTTAGTGAAAGTACATTATTAGTAAGTAGAAAACATTCAAAAGTAAAAGTGCGCAAAATGTGCTTGGTTCCATTCAGACACTGAAAAGTGGACCAAAAGAACTATGTAATGTTTAGGCGTAATCTTAATTTTTTCTTTATTGAAAACAAAATGCGACAGGGTACACAGACTCAAATGTTATACAAGCAGAAATACACTTGCAAAGGCATGTACATACACAGTGCTTTATTCAAACTAGCTGAAATTATCTGCAAACCATACTAGACTATCTCAAAAAACCTCCCTTTGCATGTGGGTTTTGCCCTGATAGTTTGTTAGCACTAACGTGAGCCAAACTTTCCTGTGGCTGTACAACCATTTCATTCAATAAATATTATTTCAGTGGGCAGCCAAAAGATCAGTGTTACACTTGAACTGCCTAATAAAAACATTAAAACCAACCTTATCAAGTATCGTGGATACATGAGCCGATGGCATCTATGTGAGGTGTTGCCTTGACAAGCTTTTAAGTTCATTCTTTACTCACCTGCCCAGCTACTAGGGAAATGTAATTGTAAGCTACTAACGACAGGTAAGTGGCTTATAATCACAAAGTACATCCAAAGTCACAACAGGTGCATCATTGCAATAAAAGCACTACACCACTAAGATGTATAGTAAGTGAGTCATTTTGTTCATAATTACAGCAAAAACTATTTGACATTTAATTTCAACTACAATAATATAAATGTTTTCAATAGCCAGGAGTTTACCATGCATTTGTGTATTCAGGTGGATCTTAGTTTCCCTACAGAATTAGAACAGGGACAAGCAGCTGGCTTTACAGCCTTCTATCATCTATGGTGGAAATGTCATTCTCTGATGACTTTTTCTCATCTTTGTCGCTGCTTCTTCTCAACAGTTTGTTAAGGACCTTGTTGAAGGCTCCACTGAAGGCAGGGCTCGAGAAATAATACAAAACAGGGTTGAGGACACTGTTGAAGTAAGTCAAACACACTGACGTGTAGAATGCCAGGTTGGCTTCTTCAAAGTATTTGCATTCATTGTACCATACCTTGAGGACCCACACTGCAATACGCGATATGGTGCTGGGGAAAAAGCAGATGATAAAGATTAAAGCCACGGCCAGGATGAACTGAACGGCCCGTTTGATTTTCCCCTTCTTGTCCACAGTCCGGATTCTCAGCTGCCATGTAATTCTGATGGTGCAGAAGGCCACGATGGCAGTGGGCAGGAAAAACTGGACAACATAGAAAGTGTTGTGCCAGGTGGAAAGGGGACTAAAGCCCATGCAGATGTTGAAACTTTCACACTGCGTACGGTTGTTGTTGTAATAAAAGTGCTGATCAGCAAGAAGGTACCCCGTAGCAAGGAAGATCAAGCACCAGAGGCCAAATGAGACCCAGAAAGCATAGCCCAGCCCCATTTGGTTGATCCGATTCGACGGGTGGACGATCTTGAAGTAACGATCTACAGCCACGGCCGTGAGGAAAAAGATCCCAGCTGCGCGGTTGGCTGCCAGCAAAAAGAGCAAGATGCGACACGGGATGTCACCGTAGAGCCAGTTTTTCCCACGCCTGTAGTAATCTGCTCGGAAAGGCAGGCAGAAGAGCACGATGGAGTCTGCAACTGCCAGGTGAGTGAGGTACACAGCGTTGGGTTTCCATGTGTCCATGTGAAAGATGAACATCCACAGGGCGACAAAGTTCCCCGTTAGTCCAAACATGAACTCCAGGATGAGAACTGGAGGCAAAACTTGGTCCAGGATGGGAGATTCGAAGGCACAACAGAGATCTGTGACTGTGAGATTCATCTTCTGACCCATCAGAGGAAACGGCTGCTGTAACATACAGTGTCGGTAAAGAAAGGCTCCACCAGGTGATTTCTTTGGAAACTGAATCGTGTTTGCGCATATGCAAAAGGTGCTCAGCCAAACATACTAATCTTTATGTGGAGTGAACATCTGTGCACTCCGTTATCTATGGGGAAGCGGTATTGACCCAAAGGAGCATGGAAACAACTGTAAATGTTATCTGTCCGGGGAGTGCACCTTCATTATAAAACTATTATGCAGGGGAATAGGTTTACTCACGAGTATTGAGTGGGATGCATGAAAAACAAGTAACCTGCGGCCATTTAAGTAACTAAGATAAAGCAGCATATCAGAGCCCTGAAAAAGAACTCATTTTTAATGCTTTAAAAATAACAGACACACAACCATTAGAAGAAAAAAAGTCAAATGTGGAAAGAGTGTAAGGGTGAAGGAGACTGAAATTTATTAGCCTACAGTTTTGCTTGAGTGAAGAACATTTGGGAAGGATTCATGTCATACCACACCTTTGGCAAACGAGAGAAAGCAGCTATTAACTAAAAAAAAAAAAATGCCAAGTGAGTGGCTGAGTCCACAGCTTTTTATGTACAGTAAATAAAATAGGTATAAAATGACTTAATGTGTACATTTGGCCAGGTCGTCGCTGTTACAGGTCACATCCTTTCAGCAAAAGTGCATATTTGGTCTTCACTTCTTGACTTCACCCAGATCATCAATGCTGTCATCATCCACCTACAACGCACAGAGAGACACGGAGACTGAACTGTGTGTCATGTTTGAGATTATAGAGGACATTTTCAAAAGCAGTTCAGAAAATCCGCTTTTCACACCGTCCACAGACCCACGACACTGTCCTGTGCTATTATTTTGGATTGAATGAGTTCTAGCCAATTTATATTGACACTAACATATGCTGCTGTTGAGAACAATATAGTTATTATGGCATTTATTGTTTTACTGCCCAGCCCTAGATGGCACCTTAAGATGTGCATAAACAAATGACTCAATAAAACTGAGCGAACGTTATAAATAAGAGAGTGCCAAAATTCCTCCACAACACAGCAACATACTGAGGGGGGTGGGGGCACTTATTTTTTTTAAAAACACATTACTGTAGGGACACAGTATATACACCAGTCCCTCACATACATACTGTACAATGTAAAGTACTCTTATGCATGTCTCCCCTCTTCTTGCAAATGTTTGCTGGAGTATGCTGTGTTGCACATGCAAGCAACAGGAAGCTAACTGCAGTTCACTTAAAGGCAGCCGGTGTCACTGATAACAACTTGAACTTTGTTACGTTTTTACAAATTGCCAGTGAGAGAGTAAATTAAGAATGAACCTTTTCAGCACACCCTGGTTTTCTCCAGCTTACCTCAGGCCACTTCTCTTGAATGACGTCAATTATGTCGTCTGTAAAATCTCCCTGAATGATTATTTCATCCTCTGCTGTAACTGAGGCACCACAAGAGAATTTCTGGGCAAAGAATCGCTGAGCCTCTTTAAGGTCGATGTCTGCAAGAGTCAAACCAGAGAATCGTGTTAAGAATAAAACATGAAGGGAATAAGATTTTGGCAGCCTAGAGGATAAGGACAGCACAAGAGCTCTCACCAAATGTCGCCAGGCCACACACCCGTGTGACGTATTTCTTCTTGGCTCTTGGGATCTTTGCTATTGTAACTTTCTGAGGCACAGTCTTCTTTTTCTGTTTGATCTGGCCTCTTCCACCTTAAAAGGTCAATTAAAATGAACCGGATTTAAACTCATGCAGTGTTAAGTCGCACACAATTAAAGCACTGATAAAAAGTGAAATGCAGACAACATGAAGCAATCAATCCTTAGCTATCATTTGAATCCTAAAGACTTACTGGAATCAGTAGACTCAAGTTTATCAGACCCATGTCTTAAAATGAACCTATGAGGTCTCAGAGTGTAAATAAACCTTAAACAAGGCAGGTTTCATACTTATTCCATTACTTTATATGTAGGAAATTTGATGCACTATAGCAGTGAATCATGAACCAGTAGATTCTGATTCCTTTTCCCTCTGACGTTTACGTACCTCTCTTCTGTTTCTTCTTTTCCTCCTCCTCGCCTGCAGGAGGAGCATCTCCAGTGCCCGGTTCCTGCTTAGGCGCATTCGCTGCTGGGCCAGTGGGACAAATGGAAAATGGAACAACATTAAACCCACTCCCTCAACAACATGTTTAGCTTTCAAGGGATTATTATGCAGCTTGAAAGCCTGGAATCATTACAGATCTTTACAGCAAATCGTTTCACCTTTCAGGCCTTGAAAGTCTGTTTTAAACAATTAAAAGCCAGTTCTGTTCACACTGTGGTGAACCTTGCAAAGACAGGACCTCTAGAACTCCAAAACTATATTTTTAAAGTACACATGACAATCAAAAGCATTTCATGTAGCATGGAGCTGACCAAAAATTCATCACACTAAATGTTATCAATCCAAAGAGCAGCGTGAGAAAAACTTTAATGTCAGCATGACCTAAATGAGCGATTCGAGAGATCAGTTTATTCACAACAGCTGGCTAAGTACCAGTTTGGTATTATAACATATATGATTTAGCTTCCACAGAACAAAGTCAGCCTGAACAACGTCAGAGCCTGCTCAGAGCAGCAGTGTAAGGGAACTCTGAGCTTTTTCAAATAAAGCATTACTGTTAGAGAAAAAATAATCCTGACTGACTGTGAGGGACCCAGCAACTGCAGCTAATATTAGAAAATTGTGGCTTTTGCTGGAGTCAAAATGTTAAGTCTATAATTATCACCTCATCTAATCTTTTTAGAGGAAGGCTATTCTGTTAATGTCCACAACTGTATTTTTAGTCCGTGAATGACCCACGATTTCAAAATAATGTTCATGGCTGTTTTAGTGCAGCCCCTCGGACCATCTGTCCTTCTTTAAGACAGTCTTTTCTGACGTACCTGAGATGACCATATTAGAAACAGTCCCTCTCTATGACATCAAACACATCCAAGAGTAGAATAACCTGCCTGAAACATGAGTTTTTAGAGCAGTCTGAAACCTGAAAATTTGGCTCATTACTTGCACCTACACTGACATTTAAAACTATGACCATGATCAATAAGAGCATCCAACTTGCAAAAATGGTTACATTCATTCATTATTATATATCTAAAATCTGAAACGCCACTCACCTACAGTCATCCTGGCAAACACATCTGGAAAGTTCTTCTCCAGCCACTGCCTACATTTAGCTGGCTCAGGCATGTACTCACAGTACTGCAGACACAACACTGCAGTTATTTACGTTGCAGCAGAAAAAATACCCCCAACTGAATATTTATAGAAAAGTGGGTCACACAACTAAATATGGAAACTGATAGTCAAACTCACCTCTGTAGGCAGAGAGCACACTGCAGAGAGAGAGAAAAACAAAATCAAAAATTAATGTCACGTTTTGAAAAGGGGCCACCACAAAACAATTGAAGATGAAGTGTGGTTTTGATGAGTGGTTTTATATACTGCACCTCCACAATAAAGAACTTTCATTGGGTACTTTGAATCAGGGTCAGCTGTCCCTTGCTCTGATCTGCTTTCCAAGGACCCAGATTCCATCTCAGTAGTAGCCATCAGAAATTAACTAGAAAAAAAGGGACAATGAACACAGGGCACACACAACATTTATCCAACTCATGTTAAATACCAGTAGTTTTTGAGTTGTGTTTTAGGATTACAATAAAAAAATACCACAGAAAGATGTGCTTTCTTTTGTTTTTAAAATGGGTGCAAGTTTTTTGTTCTTTAAACTGACAGTAAATGGCAAAAAAAAAGCCTTTTAGAATTTACAATATCACAACAGGTCGCCTGCGACAGACTGGCGACCTGTCCAGGGTGTACCCCGCCTTTCGCCCTATGACAGCTGGGATAGGCTCCAGCGCCCCCCGCGACCCTGAAAAGATAAGCGGAAGCGAATGGATGGATGGATGGATGGAATATCACAACATTCCCAAAGATATTCAGTTTACCAACATTTCACAAAGTAAATGTACATATTCAAAAAGAAAAAAATGGTAACTTTATATCTATATTTACCACGCACAGACACTTTGATGAGATGCCAAGTATATTAAGGCAACGCAAAAATATTCAGCAAGTTCTTGTTTGTTTGTTTTTCTAGGTTAGAGAACAACACCATCCACATCAATTCATGTGTGAAATACTTATTTCTCCTATACTGAAGGTTCAATCAGTGCCCTGGTTCATATAAAAGATGGACAGAGCTACAGTGATGTCACCTATTCCTGAAGTCCCATTTTGAAGTCTCCAAAGCTGTCATTTTGGTTTTAAAAGAACAGAACAAAAAAAAAACAACCCCGGATGTGGTAAGGAGTGACTAGTGGACATCAACAACAAGCCAATGCAGACACCACAGATAATCCATTGTAAAACATGTTATGCCCAAGATTTATGGGACAAATTGAATTTTTTAATGAAGTATGATCCACAACAAGTGACAGAGGTTGTAAACGCAACAGGAAAGTGTTTATAATCGTCAATACAGAAATCCATCTTCCCATAGTCTTCTGTAGGACCTGAAATCTTGTTGCAACCCCAGCTATCACCATCTGGCAGCCTTTCGATAGAATGCATGTTTAAGGCACTTCCGCATTCTGGGCTACTTTTCACACCCAAAAGCTACATCCATATTTTATACTGTCTATGGTTTCTGCTAATTGCGTGATGCTAACACGTCTCATCTCTGTTTGAACTTATACCACTAAGTTATTTGGCAAATAAAAAGGAAGAAACTTGCAGACAGCATTCTTTAATAATTCATTTACAGAGGAATCCATGCTTTCCTTTGCTGGCACCAAATGTCAATATATAGAAGCTAAATTAGTTTGAAACACTGCATGTATTTGCATTGCTTGCAGATATATGTGAAATATCAGCAGGCAGATATTTTTTGCCTGATACTGGCCCATGGCCGATATATTAGCGTTTACATTTTCCAAAAGTGTGAACATGGAAAAACGTGCAAACTATTTATTCTGTACAGGAATTATTGGAGAAAAGGGTGACTTTTCTGAAAGGGTTTGAACACAGCTTGTCCACCAGAGTGAATCTGACTCTAGGCACTGTGCGTATTAAATGTAACGAGTACCATTATAACTGGGTGGAGTTTTTAACTTTTCACTTTAACCAACACGTTTGTGAGAAAGAATATGCTTCAACCTCAACATATTTTATGTATATATATAAATAAAGGCTAAGAATCAATATCAGATGTTTTATCCCATGAAAATATGGATTGGATGGATTGGGTTCGGAATGAAATAGAGGTCCGAATGGTGAGCAAATATTTGAATGGGAG